ATATGATAAGCTCCGCTCGACAAAATCGACAGCGGAGCTAAAAATGCAAGTATTAAAGGCTCATTAGAAAGTTCAAAACATTCAACAGAAAACAAACATTCACCAGTAGATAAAATTAATTAAAAATAATGTGTGAGGTAAAGGTTTCAAACTGATTGATGCATTTGAAGATGAAAAACAAAAATTGTTTTTTTCAGCCTAAGATTCAATAAGATATATTGCAGTGTTGTATATATTTGTTGTGATGGACTAGTCCACAGTTTGCAGGTCCCAACCCTAGGTGGAGCAGACCTGTCAATTCCTGGTGTATGTAATGATAACACTGATCAGTTTTGAGTAGATTGCATTTATCAGGGTTCTCCCCAGAAAAAATGCATAGCGCTGCAACTAATTTGCATATCATTTACATACCTTTCCTTCAATTAATTATAACAGAACTCATTTACAATTATGAATATTAATGAGCTCAGTCACAGTGAAATATTTTTTTTAATGGAATCAACACATTATGTTTCACAATTTAGAAGCGTTTGTAACATTCTCGAAATACAGATGCTGCAGACTAAAAACAAACACAAATTATTTTTGCAATTTAAAACGTTTTTGTCTATTATAAAATATTGAACACATTCGCATTCGAAACGTCAAGCCAGAAATATGTTCATGAATTTCATGATTTTATTTACTCCAAAAACATTTACCTCCAAAAACTCGACCACGTAATTAATTGGCGTATTTTTGTAATTTATTATTCGCACTATCAACTTCTAAAACGTTTACATTTACAGTAATGAGCAAACAAAAGTTCAAAACGATCATCAAAGTTACGACGTGACATAACTTACTTGGCGATATACACCAGTTATACCAATAATTACTCAATAACAATTACTCGCAGAAAGTATTCACTTACAAACAAAGATACTAATTTCACAAATTTGACTAGCCGCTATGTATCGTGCGACTAGGTCTATTGTTTACAAATTATAATCCACGACTGGCAGGATGCGTGTCGGTCGATACGTAATTATAATAACAATCGGACAATAGTCCTGGTCGAAAGCGTTTCTATTGTGGTCACTAATTTTGGGTGACGGTCGGGGCTGACCAGCGTGACGAACAAAGCTTTTGCACATCTGATATTGGCATGTCAAATATGAAATCAAGCGCAGAGGTCGGAACACATAGCGCCGAGGTCGGAACACATAGCGCCGAGGTCCCAAGTAAAGCGCCGAGATTCAAAAGTATAGCCCTCGGAAGAACCCTGTTTATGTTACTGTAAAATACATTTGGGATTAATTTTCGCTATTTTTGATAAAGGAATGATTCAGTGAAAATAATAATCCAGCCAATATACTTTTTTCCTATCAACTTGACAAAAATCAGTGAAAATAAATTCCATACAAAACACCCAAAAAGTCTTTTCAGCGAAAATTAATTCCACAGTACACCATGTTACCTCCATGATGTTTTAATGAAGAGTTCGTATCTGTTTGGTATTAGTATAAATAGAGGATCTCCAATGAGTGACCGTGTAATA